AGTTTCGAAGCCTCTTAATTTGTTGCGGGTCTCTTTTCCTACTTCTACGCTACAGATCCATGATACCTTGAAGCTAAAGTGCTCCTTTTAATATAGTGTGTTTAAATATCCTTAGCAAAATGAACACTTTCAAAATAAATGAACACTAATATTTGCGACTTAGATTGAAAAAAAATTAGTTCATACTATCACACAAGCTTTGCTTCTGTAATCATATGATTAGCTGTTGAACTGGTTTTTAAGCAGGTTGATATTCGTTGCTAGATTATATAGGGGGAAGGTAAAAAACTTAATGAGATCCGTATTTTTTTTCTGGAAGAACAAAGCAAAAATAATTTAGGGCAAGCTTAATCTATTGGCACCAGGGTCAAAAAAGTGTCATTTATTGATTAAACCGCAATTATTTAATTGTCTTCACACTACTATAGGATAATAAATCAGGAAACTGCAAGCTCAGATTCCTAACCTCACTATCCTTTCATGTAAAAACTGCACAACATCGAAAATAAGTTGCTGCTACATTCAAGGAGGCGCCAAGTTCATCAATAATAGCTCAAACCATTTTCGACTTAAATGCGATCGATGAAAACATATTTTGCATTCTGCAGCAGCCGACTAATATGGACAATTCGAAGTCAATCAAAGGCCTTTTTCTCCGGTGCGCCTTATTAAGAAAAACAAATTGTTTTGCATTGATTGTTTTACTCAATGACTTCCTTTATGAAGCTGCAATCTTTTGTGGAAGCCTCCGCTAACTGCATCAATGAAGCAAAATTATATCAACAATGGCGAAAATGAACTAACTTAGGTACTGCTAACGTGGCTACAGGCAAATTAGTAACCACTGAAAAATGGGATAAGAAGAAAAAAATAACTGCAAAAATAAAGCCATTATGCTAAATTAGTCACAAAATGACTAAACGGTCAGATTTTAGTTCAGATAGTTCATCTACTTGCAAAAAATTGGAAGCTATGCTTGCAAATTTATTTAGTGAAGTCAAAAATTTGAACTGAAACCGAGAAAGAGAAAACTACGGCTTGTCAAATTATTGCAGACTATTATAGCCAACATGCATCTGGAATCTTGAATCCTCAAAAGTCTGGCCTCGGCGAATCAAAAAAACAACAACTTTTACTTCGAGCCTGGGAAAACAAAACCTTCATTTTTGGGATGCTCTCTATTGACATTTTATCTGATTGAAATATCTTATTTGGCAAAAAGTGAATCAGTAGGTATCATTTGAAGTTCATGCTTTCAAAACCATCAGAATCATGTTTGAAAGTATACAGGACGCAACATCGAAGCAGCCCTTCACATCACTTGCAGCACCACCCTTTTTAAAATCATAAGCTGAGCATTTTTAGCAAAAAAAAAGAACATTATTAAGAGCTCGAAACAATCTATGTCAGAGGAAAACAAAACTACCACTCATGAAACTCTGCATGAAAAGAGACTTAACTGGCTTGTTACTTGATTCAAGATGCTCAAAAGAAAACGATTTGATAACTATAGCTGATCGCCAGCGTAAACGCTGAAAATTTCTTATCAGGAAATCAAAAAACACTAACAAATCTTTGAAGAATGAAAAAATGGGTGATATTATATGACATTACTATCCATTGCCAGCCAACCAACAAGACAATAAATTTTGGCAACATAGCCAATCGTTAAAAAGGTAAGCGTCAAAAACAAGGATATCAGAAAAAGACTGAAAAGAAATATCTCATTTTTTTTCGATTGCAAGAAAAGGTAAATAGCTTAGAAAATTTGATAATTGTAGCTAATTACCAGCGTAAAAGCTGAAAATCTCCAACACAAAAATCAAAGAACACTAAAACAAATCTTCAAAGAAATGAAAAAACTGGTAATATTATATGAAAATCCTATCCACTGCCAACCAACAAAATAAAAAATGGCAACATAGCCAACTGACACTTGGAAAATTAATTAAAGTACCAAGAAAAGGCTTGAAAAGAAATATCTCGTTTTTTATTGCAAAATAAGGTAAACAGCTTACAAAATAAAGTAAAAATTAGAAGAAAATTTATTAGGAGTTCCGCATTCCTGCCATGAAACTCGGTCTAAATTTTTCATAACAATTAGCATTAAGCAAGCTTCTAGTAATTTTCAAGCGTTCACTAAGCCAACAACACGTGGTTAGACGCCAATTAAACCAAAAACAAAATGTCAAAGAAATTGTTGTCATAGTAATATATTAGCCAAAAAATGCAGGAGTTAATTAACGACACTTCAGACTACAATGAAAACTGATTACAGCGCAAAAAAATGTAGCGTGGCAACTAAGCCGACAAAACATCAACAGACAACTTAAATCTGACTAATCAATTTTTCTCGGAAAAGATCCGGCCGTGACTCGAACCCCTGACATTAGATTTCAAAGTCAACTGCATTATCTCCAGACCAAGTGCGTTAAATTAACGTCCCACTTTTGATTCCATATGAGCCAAAGGTATAATGATTCAAATGATTTTATTAAAATAGTTGTTAACCCGAAAAAAGTCTATATTCCGATTTGATACCGCTTGCTCATCGAAAGCGTAATTATGATTATTATTATCCCTCTTTGCAAATCACCCTATGCAAGGGAGGAAAACAAATTGTCTAGAAGGGTGGATTCTTTTAGAACTTCGTTTAATTTGGCCAAACGCGTTTTCCGATCTCTCCAAAAAACGCAATAAGACCTGATTCAGACTTTACGAATGCTTTTGTTATCAACTCTGGAAAGAATGTGCCGAAATGATATTTCGGGCATTTTTACGAAAATGTATAAATTAAAATTCAAAACTCGATCAACGCTTATATAAGTTGGCGCCGAAGACACATTCAGATCAGATAGTGTTGCTTGACCAAAAGTAGATTTTTCTCGTTTCCGGCTATTCAGTGATGTCCATTCTAAAAAATAAAAATTTAAATTAAAATTTCTTTTGGAAAGATATATAAATTGTTGGCGTCAAGTCTATTTGTAACAAAGTTTTTTCGATTGCAAGAAAAGGTAAATAGCTCAGAAAATTTGATAACTGTAGCTAATTACCAGCGTAAAAGCTGAAAATCTCCAACACAAAAATCAAAGAACACTAAAACAAATCTTTAAAGAAATGAAAAAACTGGTAATATTATATGAAAATCCTATCCATTGCCAACCAACAAAATAATAAAAAATGGCAACATAGCCAATTGACACTTGGAAAATTAATTAAAGTACCAAGAAAAGGCTTGAAAAGAAATATCTCGTTTTTTATTGCAAAATAAGGTAAACAGCTTACAAAATAAAGTAAAAATTAGAAGAAAATTTATTAGGAGTTCCGCATTCCTGCCACGAAAATCGGTCTAAATTTTTCATAACAATTAGCATTAAGCAAGCTTCTAGTAATTTTCAAGCGTTCACTAAGCCAACAACACGTGGTTAGACGCCAATTAAACCGAAAACAAAATGTCAAAGAAATTGTTGTCATAGTAATATATTAGCCAAAAACTGCAGGAGTTAATTAACGACACTTCAGACTACAATGAAAACTGATTTCAGCGCAAAAAAATGTAGCGTGGCAACTAAGCCGACAAAACATCAATAGACAACTTAAATCTGACTAATCAATTTTTCTCGGAAAAGATCCGGCCGTGACTCGAACCACTGACAATAGATTTCAAAGTCAACTGCATTATCTCCAGACCAAGTGCGTTAAATTAACGTCCCACTTTTGATTCCATATGAGCCAAAGGTATAATGATTCAAATGATTTTATTAAAATAGTTGTTAAACCGAAAAAAGTCTATATTCCGATTTGATACCGCTTGCTCATCGAAAGCGTAATTATGATTATTATTATCCCTCTTTGCAAATCACCCTATGCAAGGGAGGATAACAAATTTTCTAGAAGGGTGGATTCTTTTAGAACTTCGTTTAATTTGGCCAAACGCGTTTTCCGATCTCTACAAAAAACGCAATAAGACCTGATTCAGACTTTACGAATGCTTTTGTTGTCAACTCTGGAAAGAATGTGCCGAAATGATATTTCGGGCATTTTTACGAAAATGTATAAACTAAAATGCAAAACTCGATCAACGCTTATATAAGTTGGCGCCGAAGACACATTCAGAATAGATAGTGTTGCTTGACCAAAAGTAGACTTTTCTCGTTTCCGGCTATTCAGTGATGTCCATTCTAAAAAATAAAAATTTAAATAAAAATTTCTTTTGGAAAGATATATAAATTGTTGGCGTCAAGTCTATTTGTAACAAAGTTTTTGTAATTTTGTCGTGAAAACTCAGATTGTTTGCTTTGTTCCGCAGAACTGTGAAATGTTAAAATAATTGACTGATGCAAAGTGTGTACTTTGGCCTCAGATTGAATCCAGTTCGGGCAATTTAATTTTTTTAAATTTAAATTGTTCGATTTAAATTAAAACTTTTCATTTAAATTGAGCGGACTCATAATTTACATTTGAATAAATTGAAACTCGAATGAAAATTTAAGTTGATTTAAATTGTTTATTTAAATGGACGTCGCTGCGGCTATCGTATTTATGATTAAGGAATTACAGTATGAAATATAAGAACAAAAGAAATCAGTTCCAAAATAACTACTTCCTAATCATTTTCGATGATATGATTGCTGCTAGATTCTATTCATCACTGACACGAGAAGGAAAAAACATAGCTTTACGAAACAGTTGCAAGAACACAAAAAAGTATTAGGTCTTAATCCCTCCTTTTTGTGCCCACCACATTCTCACGCCTGTTTAACATCTAATTACTCAAATTGCACAAACACTGCGAGGGTCAAAATGGTGGTGGGGAAAAGCAATCGAGCAAAAAGGGAGGGTGGAAATGTTGGGGGAAGGAGTAAAAGCAATACTGGGGAAATACAATAAACAAGAACCCTTAATGCACTACGCTTCAAAAGGGCACTCTGTACTTGAATCGCGCGCAAATTGCTTCTTTCAATGGCCTCTCTAAAAGTAAATTAAAGCCTGCAACTAGCCTTTGTTTCAGACTATGAGAGCGGTTGAAATTATGTTGCTGTTGCAAATTAGCACCATTGCTGTGAATTTTGGTTCCTGTGGCTGCCGAGTAACTCGAAGTATTCGCGTAAAAACCGCCTCTGACCATTCCTCCGGTCATGGAGTGGCCGAGATTCGAACCTCGCTGGCTGCTTTTCATTCCACCGACTGTTTCGTCGTCGGAAGAGTCCGAAAGGATACTGTGGAAGTGAAGCTGAGTCATCTCTAAAAAACTTAATGATTCAAATCACCTTCAAAATAAGTCACTAGTTCATCTATCAAATTCCTACCATTGGGTGAAAAAAAACAGGAGATAAGAAATAATAACTGCTTCTACTAGGTTGATAAATAGGATATATTAGCCGTTTAATGACTTTAATCAGTTCTTGACTTCAAAATGAACATCTGGCAATCACTAAATAATAAAAAACAAGCTGAACTGCAGCAAAATCCAAGCAAACAAAAGCAAGAAAATTTGGATACAATTCCGTCTTAGCGAAACAAAGATTGGAAATTGCAATATTGAAAAGGGTCATCAAAATGATAGCAATCGCGACTTCCTTCATTGCCAACCAATAGAAGTTAAACCGAAAACTAATCAAACCCGTGATGACCAGTACAATCATCAGTTTATCAACAGGTTAAAAATGATTGATTAAGCTTATGTCAATCAATAACAAATAAGTTCAATCAATTCCGATTAAAACACATTTTATTTAACTTGTTCAGCTCAAAATTAGCGTTTAAAGAATAAGTTGAGAGATTGAGATAACGCCATGTAATCATAACTAAGTTCCCAAGCTTCTCAAAATGCTCTCGCACCCGATGACTAGATTTTTCGAGAGTATATAAAACTTCGAAAATCTGCACCTTGTATAAAATGCAGAGTGCTATCTTTAATTGTTCTGTCATTGAGGAACAGCACCTTCGAGCAACTAACCTTCGAGTATCTGTGTAGTTGTGTTCGGGTCTGAGACGGACAGTGAATCCAAGTCCAATTCACTCTGGGCCAAAATGGCTTCAGTTTGTTTCAAACACTTCACAATAGCCCCCATCCCCCTCTCGATCACGTGCGGCGGAGGGAACTGAAGGGAGTTTCCCCCTAGGTTCAGCGACTGTAGAGTCTTTAGGGAACCTAAGCAACGCATTTATTTTCATAATTAACTATTAATGAATTTTTGTCAAATTGAGAAAACTGAGAAATTTACCCATTTCTACAGGAAGGAACTGCAAACAATTATTGCCCAGTAAAAGAGAAACCAGTTTTCTAAAACAAAAAACAAAACGAGTGGCAACATTTATGATAAGTTTAACTAATGCCGCGTTACGTGGCGCTATGATTATGGTACACGAAAACTACCAGACTTAGATTCGACTGTCTATAATAATTTAATCAGACATTTTTTACGTATTAAAGTATACATCTGATTTAGTTAGTTTCCTGATGTCAAAAGTGATCTATAAGAGTATATGAAAAATTTATACGCATTCAACTTTCAATTGTGCCTTTACTAGGACTTTAATTGTGTCTTTGAACGCATGTGCTGATGTAAACCTACCTAGCAGTTGCTATGCTCTTCGGGATAGCTGTGATTCGATTATATCGCATATCTAGCCATTTCAGATTCGGCAAGCAAGCGAAAAAATTATCCGGCAACATCTTCAACTGATTGTTGCACAAATAGAGATATTCAATGTGTGACAGCGATAATAACTGGGCCGGCACTTTTGTTAGTTTGTAATAGGACAAGTCCAAAAGAGGGGAATCTATTTGGGCGAAAGCACTCAGCAATTCGTCAATTGAATAAGGGTCGCTTGGATCTGCATACTCATCGTTTGTTCCACAAGACTGCGTTTGAACGATATCGCCCGAAGCGTCCACCATTTTCTACAAGTTTACTAACTACCTTGACTATTTACATCATTTCAATTCAAATTGTGAACATATTCTATCTTAAACAAGTTTTAGTCATTTCACTGACAGGCTTTTCAGTATGCATGCAGCATTCGCACAGTTCCAATTTCTAACTTCAGATAAAGCAATTCAAAAAGTCGTCAGTATCATTTGCTTTTCTGTAAAATAATTATATCAAACTCAATCTTCATTAAACCAGGGCTGTAAAAGATATATATTTAAATGAATTTTTTCTTAAAAATCAATATTTTTTTATTTCTATGAAACGGGCAGTGGTTTGGTGTTTCTGCTTTATTTCCATTGTATTTAAATACAATATATTTTTTTACAGCCCTGCATTAAACAGCCCTTTTTGTTAGAAAAATATTTGTGTAAATAAGTACTTTCCGTTTACTGTTTTCCTTTCACGTCAATCCCCATTGAAAAACATTTTGAACATTTCAGCTTGAACTTAAGTCATTGTTATTACAGGCCAAATAAATATATTTTCACACTTCCACTTCAAAATTGGGAAAAGAAAACTGAAAAGCGGCTTTGGTGCGGTTGCTAATGAAAAAAAGAGTCAATCTCATCAAGATGCAATTAAAATGTAGCTGAGAGATTAGTTGAGGAATTCCTCTACATTCTCAATTTGCTTAAATATGAATTAGTCGCAGGCACACAACTTGATTTGATTATTGCTTTCAGAAAAGCGTTGTAAAAATATTGAATTTTCACAGATGACACGCTTCAAGTGGGCCGCCAGGTAAACACAGGGAAAGCATTATTCCGCATTTACATCTATTTATACAAGGAAAACCAGGATAAAAACTCGTTTCAAAGACCCGCTAATTGTAGGCGTGAGATAAGATTGCTCAGGGAAAACATAATCAGATGGTGGTACATCAAAAGAAGAGGCACAAATACTATTTTTCTTCGGAACAAATACAGACTAGAATCTTTTAATACAACACAGTTTTTGCATGTGAGCCTAGCTGTTAGCTTGTTGATTCCGTGAGGCAATGTCTGAAAGATTAGTCCCTTCTTCAAATTTTAGCACGCATATTTTATTTCGACTCACTATGGAACTTTTGCACTTTACAAAATGATTATTACTCAAGATAACAAATAAGGACAAAAATCTTCAATATCAATCCATCTTCATCTAACCATTGAAAATTAAATGTTCGAATATGAATACAGTGCTGATTTAAATTAACCGGACAAAACGTGTTAAACTTGAAATTTAAAACGCGTTTTTCTCAAATTGGGTTGAGTTTAGGAGAAAAATTATGAGGACAAAACTTGCTTAAAATTTTAGCAGAATTATTATGGTGTAATTTGTTTTGCGAAATTCGGGCCCAAAATTTTACCCCAAAAATGAGTCATTTTGGCTTTTCTTAGTTAATTAAAAATTACGCCAAAAGTACCCATTCGATCACAGCCATAATTATATCAAAGTGAGCCCCTTACGTAGCCCAATAAACTTTAAGAAGGGTATATTCTCCAAAACATTGTATAAATTAATTTATTTTTGCTTGATAGACAAAAAAGGTCGTTTTTACTATATAAAATACCAATTTTTTATTTAAAAACAATTTTTAAACGGTTTGCAATTTTTTTTGGAGAATATACCCTTCTTAAAGTTTATTGGGCTACGTAAGGGGCTCACTTTGATATAATTATGGCTGTGATCGAATGGGTACTTTTGGCGTAATTTTTAATTAACTAAGAAAAGCCAAAATGACTCATTTTTGGGGTAAAATTTTGGGCCCGTTTTTCGCAAAACAAATTACACCATAATAATTCTGTTAAAATTTTAAGCAAGTTTTGTCCTCATAATTTTTCTCCTAAACTCAACCCAATTTGAGAAAAACGCGTTTTAAATTTCAAGTTTAACACGTTTTGTCCGGTTAATTTAAATCAGCACTGTAGATATCAACAATGAAAATCATAAATCATAATCTGTTGTCTCTTCGGATCTCACAAAATCAAAAGTTTTTTCTGCACACAGATATTTGGAAATGAACAACTTCAAACATTTAGCCTTGCTGCCGTTGATAAGGAAAGTGTATGAAAGAAGGATATTCAATCAAAAAATAAAGTTAATTTGGATACGGAAATTTTAAAATATTAAGACTTATTTCTAATCTACGTTTTTTCTCAAAAGTGTTCAAAAGAGTAGTTATTGTGCAATTAACAGACCATCTCAGTGTTAACAAGTAACATGATCCCAAACAATCAGCTTATAGAAAGCTTTTCTCGACAGAGACAGCCCTACTAAAAACTTCCGATGACATCTTACTTGAGCTGGAGAAAGGCAAAGAAATAGCTCCTATCGCCCTAGACCTTGCAGCAGCATTTGATAACATTGAATATGAGCTATTGTTACTTGTACTCGAGAAATATGTAGGTGTTAAAAATCGGCAAAAAATTTCATCTCATCATACCTCAGTATTAGAATACAACGTGTCAAGATACAGATACATGAAGCTATATCGAAACCTCGAATCATTAAAACTGTGGTTCCACAAGGATCTCTGCTAGGACCGTTGCTCTTCAGTTTATCTTTCGACTATACGAACTTCACTTTTGAAAACTTATTTGGACTATCAAATCTAGGCAGATGACATCATGCTATACTGCAGTCAGTCTTTCCTCAGATGAGGGAAAAAGATTCAAATGGATTCAAATAAAAATGTGAAATGGTTCGAAAGCATGAGATTGAAAATTAACACAGAAACTGATTGTTATGCGAAATCTACGAAAAATGAATTTAAGAAGCTAGATAACTTGTCATCAACGATTGCAATTTTGATTCTTTGAACTCTTTAAAATCGCTGGGAATAACATTTGACCATCACATGAAAACGAGGAACAAATTCAACTAGTGTGCAGAAGCTGTTACTTTCAACTGAGAAAGCAATATTCAATCCGTAACTATTTGAGTTTCCCCAACAGATACCTTCTGGTCTGAATGCTCATGAGTTTCAACCAAAGAGTTCATTTTTATGCCAGAATATATCAGATTGCTTCGCAAAAACGATAGAAATTTTCCAAAAGCTTCTCAATGCGTGTCTTTCACTTCTCAATGCGTGTCTTTCAAGCAGTCGTACTACTAATCGTAAAAATTTCCAATGATATGTTTTCTCGAAATGACACCATCAAAAAAATTTAATGCTAGAGGTGTTCAACTCTTCAAAATGAATTTCCCATGAAGAAGGTTAATCTTCATCAATGACACCAACTCGTACATAGTGTTTTTTTAAACTAATTCACTTACAATGTCATGTCCAGGCGAAACAATTGCGATTATGTGCTGTGAAGAAGTGGATCAGCAAACTTCAGCACGTCAAAAACTTGTGATGGGTGGGACGAATAATCTATTTGACAGAAACAACAACCGAATGAAGACGGAATTTGAAGTTGTCGAAGAGATCAAATATCTAACTTGAAGGTACATGAACTGTGGCATTGAAGTGGCAATTATGTGTTTGACTGGACGGAGTTAACGATATGGTACCATGAAGCGGCTGAACTAGAATTATAGACGTCTGGCAGAAGCACACGGAACCCCGTTCGTGAAAAACACAAAATTTAGATTCCGACGGTACATATCAGTCAACGGCCTACATCCCATACTAGAGAGCACGCGTTAGCTTGCGCAAGCTTTCGGAAAGTTGTAGAATTGGAAAATGTTTCTATTTTAAATATTTAACGGGAAAAACTTTTGTAATATCAATAAATGAAGGCAGCTTTAGGCTTTAATTTTGAAACGAAAACATTCGACGTGAATATTAGCACAGAAGGTCGCTTGATATCTTTTGGCTATCCAGAAATCAAAAAGCTTTTCGGAGGCCACTTTACGCACTAAAAGAAAACAAAAACGAAAAGAAAGCCGAAGCAGCGGGTGACGATTACGAACAATATGCAGACCGCAATATGCAGAACGAGTCTCTGGAAAATACCGCGTATTTTAACAATGAGAGGCAAAAAGAAACATAGCGGCATATTTGGACACCTTCGAATCCAAAAAAAGTGGAAAATTACTGAATGACTGACTCATATCTAGAAAAACTTCAGTTCAAATAAAATCTTGATTACAAAATGAAGTACAGTACAACTGAGGACATTGTGGTTACTGGGAAAACTCGCCAATCGAATCAAAAAATTCATCCCACGGGTTTTCTTGACTTGAAAAATTTGTTTGATAAAATTTATCAGTAACTTCAAATTATTAAGGTCCCATAGGAGAGAATTGTAAGCTACTGATCAAATAATGAGCTATTCAGCATAATATCAGCAATAAGTCCTTTATAGTTGTTGATTTAAGTTGTCACAAAGACCAGTACTGATTCTCATAAAGGTAAGTGCAATAAGAAAAAACGTACGTTTTCCGAAGTGGACCAAACTCGTACAGAATTTCGTTTGCTCACGATACCACGGAGACCTAATTTGATAAAAAGAAAATACTGACTACCGATTTCAATTCTTTAGCCAATTCGCTTGCACCAATTAACGTATATCTTAACATGAACTTAACTACAGTATAACTACACAAACGCAAAAAGGAGCCAGAAATCACTTGCGATACAAAAATGAATCACTATGATTACAAGAAGATGAACCGTTAGATCAAAAGTTGTTCAAAAACTGTTCAGAAGATAAAAAACTTTCTAAAACAGCTCTAAGGACAAGTTTCTACTGGTAATATCTTTGCGAAAACTAAGGGTTCCGCAACCGGTTCCTAGACTATCACAGAAATCGCACTTGAAATTGTTAGAAGTATCTCATTCTCTTGATAACAATTTCAAACTGAAAAAAATATTCTGATTATTTGGCGCGGAGGTATTACCCAAGCTTGAAAGCTTTTTTTATCTAAAATTGATAAAAAACGGCACAAAATCTTAAAACTCAATTAACTGCGTCTATAGAAGAAGCATTTGGAAGGTTAAAAAAGGAAAGTCAAAATAATACGAGCTGCTGAAACTGAGACGACAAAAAGTATAAAAATTCCAGTTCGCTCAAAAAGACCCGGCTGGACTTAAATTCAAAACTTTGGTCCTCTTAAGTATAGCTATTACTTTAGCGCCAAAAAATCAGAATAATTTGCTGAATTTAAAAAGATTTCAAGAAAATGAAAAAAGTCTAACAATTTTAGGCGCGAGCTCTGCAATCAAAGTTTTCAACGGAAAAAACCTAGTTACCGGTTGCA